GTCATCATAAAAATTTGTACCATCGTCTTGACCCAAAGGTTTATTAATATATCTGCCTTTTTCGATGTGTAAATTATGGTTAAGACTACAACAGATCTGGGACTATTATTAAATACTTAGTATAATAGTCCCAGAACAGATCGAGACATATATAATTATGTCTCTGACTACAATAATCAGAAATTCACCACTGTCTAATATATTGTTTCGAGCAGAGACATATATACACAGAGATTGGCAACTCCGTGAAATCCCGTTAAAAAACGCGGCCCGGAATGAGATTCTCGTCGATAATTATTCTACAACATGTAGACAAGTCAGGGATGAATAACCTCGATAGCTAATCAAGTGATAGGAAAACTTATTTCAGATCAAATAAATTCTTTTTCTAAAAAACTACTTGAAATAGTTGTATTTTTTTTAATGTATTTGATTGAGAAAATATTTTTTTCTTTTTTTCGGCATTTCTTTTAATTTAAAAAGTAAAATCTGGTAATGATCATGATATTACAAGAAACATTTCTTTGCTAAAGTTTGCTTCTAAATTACACAGTGAAATTATGTGTGTCCGATTTTCCGGTAATTATTTCCTTAGAGTTGTGACTGTGGATTCACAGGTGTGCGATTACGCAATTTATTGCCCTCCGATCACCTGAATTTTGCCGGAGGTGAAGTTCTAAGTGGATTATTACTTGGTAACTGTTTTTACAACTAATCAAATTCTGACATTATTTTAACCATGACCAGAACTTTATTTTAACAGAAACACTGGGCTATACTATGAATAGGGTAAACGGATAGAAAGTCACAGTACAAAAAGTCACAGGACATAAAGTCACAAATTGGATAGGACAAATCACAAATAATTTACTGACAATTGTTTGAATATAAAAGAGAAAGATCTTCAAATAATATCTTTTTTTACATTTATTCATTTTTAAGTTCAGGAAATTGTTCATAGGCCTTGATAAATGAAAAATTATTAAATTTTAATCATGCAAATAATATATTTCTTGGCACCATGAAGCCATTTAAGTGCCAAACCACTTTGACATTTTGTTATCATAACAATTATTTGATCATCATTGATATTTATTGTATAAATTTTAATTACAAAGTTGCTTCATATATTATAGTTCAATGAAAAATCAAAAAATTATTTTTAAAATTAGTGTTTTCTTGTTCAGAGAAAAATAATCTCAAAACTGAATTGTGACTTTTCGTCTGTGACTTTTTGTCCGTGACTTTTTGTCCTGTGACTTACTGTCCTACATTCTACTATAGTATTCAATCAGGAACAAAAATAGTCATTTAACATGTCAAAAAAAGAAATCAGAAAGCAACTTTTGTATATAAAAAAAATATGTAGCCAGTAGAATTTTGTCTCCTGGAAAACGGATTTAAATGATTAATTTTTGATTGACCTACAATAACATTATTTGTGGAACCTTTGCATGAATTTCCTAAATGAACGTACATTATGTACAGTGTTGTCGAAATCACTATTTTTGCTGTCATGAAATATTGAATATGAATCTGTCATTATTTGTAGTTTTTTAGAGACTTAATATCACAGACCCTGATTAAAAACAACGTGTATCATAAGTACAGTAAAATGCTCTGCTGAACTGTAGAATTTTAATGTTCTGTTTCATAGACCACAGAAGTACTGCAACATCCTTATCTTAACTCTTTCCTACCGGGTAGTGAAACTCGAGTTTGAAATTAGAAATATTTAAAATTGAAGACAAGTTTTATCTGATCTTTTGTGGGTTTATGTTTCGGTGCAGTGCTATGTGGGCTGTTATTTTCTTTTCATTTGTCATTTTTTTTATCTGTGTTACATGACCTTGTACTTTTTGTATTGCCCCTTGACATCTCCTGCTTCTGTTTAAACCTTTACCACTAATATCTCATCTGGTTTAAATAAAATAGTGTCTCATTCCCGGAATTTGTTATACAGGAATTCATTTTAATATCAGTTTTTTTTAAGCATATAAACTGCTTGGTCTCTTCACACAATTTATGTTTAGGACGAAAGCATCAATAGGTACATACATGTACCAGGTCACCAATATATAAGTACACGTTATGTGCTTTTGACCTCCACAAGAATTCTTAAACATTCATAGATGTGCAAAGAATATTTTTGTCGTTGGGTTGTTGTCTCATTGACATATACCTCACATTTCTGAATAGTCATAGCAGCTGTGCCTTTTCAATTTATTGCAGAAAATATTTGCATTAACATTTTTCAAAATAGGCAAACAGTGATCACAGAATGAGGACATGTAAAACTGAAACAACACAACACATTGAACAGATAAATATAAACAAGCACCATTGCTAAAGGACTGAAACAAACATAGATGATGACAAATATGAGCGACTAGTAGTGTACAAGTAGAGTGAACATTTCTTGCTTCTTATTCTAAACATTTTGTCATTTCATGTAAACAATTAAATATGTTATTTTCCGAGGAGAGGAAGGAATTTGTGAAACGAAATATTTTGCCTTTAGTTCTGTCAAGTTATATATTCACAGGAGTGTTGTTAAATAAATGAACATTTTCCCTTTTTTTACATTATGCTACCTTTATGCTACAAAGGTAGCATTTCCATTCTCATGATATACAAAGATATTATAGAGTGGCCTTCCAATGATAGTCATACATGTAAATCATTGTCTCATTGGCAATCATACTACATCATCATATTGTTATACATGTATGTAAAAATTATGTACATGTATACTTTGTAAACGTAAAGAAGACAAACGAAGTTGAACACAAGATATTTATTTGCATTTTTATCCGTATACATGTAGTCTCTGCACAACTGCCACTTCTGTTTCAAATTCAATAGATTGAATGCGGAGTCTTGTATTTATTCTAAGTTCAATGATGTCACCATCACTTGCACTAAAATCGCATACACATGTACATCAAGTTTGGCATATGAACTATGATATTTGAACTACAATAATGTGGTGTTTTCACAGTCAGGATAAGCACATGTCATTTTCTCTCTTACAAAACCATTTTTTAGTATCACATCGATAGTAGTACATGTAATCGATCCACTACATGACTGTGCAGTAACATTTGAAAAAAGTCATCACTAATAGTTGTTCCTGTCTGCCAGGGAATCTTTTTTTCAATCAGAAAGGCTAGGGAGTCCTACATTCAGCACATGTATGATATTACATCTCTTGTATGCTGCACTGTTAGGTAAATTTGATCAACATCTTTGTTCTTTTATAACATGCAGGATCCTGTTAAAAAAAATGCTGTCAGATACTGAATGTAAATATACATGTATATAAACTTGTAAATGTCATCAAAGTGGTGGAAATAATGAAAAAAAACAATTTATATACACAAAACCGGTATGTCTTGGGAAAGTAATTCCTGTGATCAATGGTGATGGGTACATTTGTTCGTTAAAGATTGACAATTTTATAAACTGTAGCCATGGACAGGTGCCTGTCTTTATATTGAAGAGAATGAAAATGGCTGACAGCTTGAATGGTCATTTTTAATTATAAATTGCATCAAAGCTGGTGAAAATATGGAAAAAACAACTGTTATACACAAATCCAGTATGTCATAAGAAAGTAATTCATGTGCTGGGAATAATTATTCTCTAAAGATGGAAAAGTTTATTGACTGTAGACATGGACAGGGGCCTGTCTTTATATTGAAGAGAATGAAAATGGCCGACAGCTTGAATGGTCATTTTTAATTGTAAATTGCATCAAAGCTGGTGAAAATATGGAAAAAACAACTGTTATACACAAATCCAGTATGTCATAAGAAAGTAATTCATGTGCTGGGAATAATTATTCTCTAAAGATGGAAAAGTTTATTGACTGTAGACATGGACAGGGGCCTGTCTTTATATTGAAGAGAATGAAAATGGCCGACAGCTTGAATGGTCATTTTTAATTGTAAATTGCATCAAAGTGGGTGAAAATATGTAAAAAACAACTGTTATACACAAATCCAGTATGTCATAAGAAAGTAATTCATGTGCTGGGAATAATTATTCTCTAAAGATGGAAAAGTTTATTGACTGTAGACATGGACAGGGGCCTGTCTTTATATTGAAGAGAATGAAAATGGCCGACAGCTTGAATGGTCATTTTTAATTGTAAATTGCATCAAAGTGGGTGATTTAATGAAAATTCAACATATTTACACAAAACCAGTATGTCTTGGGAAAAGTGATTCATCTCATAAATGGTTTTATTCCTTTTCGAATGAAAAGGTTTTAATAAAAAATACGTCCGTGTAAAAAATTTTCATAACGTCCATGTCGGCCAAGCTTTCCCCTTATTATTGACCACAATAAAACGTTAATCGTCACAATATTTTAACTAACAATTACTACAAACTGAATAAAACAAGGTAAATAATTTACGAAATTGAAATATATACTTACATTATGCTGTTTTGAAAAGCTTGATGTAAAATAAAAATCGAAGCGGTGGTGAACTTGTCATGATCAGATGCAAAATGGCGTTCTCGTTAAAGTCTCGTGTGATGCGTGTTTTTAATTGGATTTCGCTGACCACTGTTACAGTTGCCAATATCTGTGTATATATGTCTCTGTTTCGAGACATTCAACTCTGTATAAGTCTCAGGTTTATGTTCATTTTTAGCTTGTATTAATTATGTAACTACATAATTTGTTTTGGTCTTCACCTGATAAACGTGTCAGAAAAGATATATTTTTCATATTTCATCTTTCTTGTAATCTATTTTTCACTGCAGATATGAGTTTTCACTCTGACAGCGTTTCTTTATTATTCCAGACAAAGTCAAAACCAAAGTATTTTTGAAACTGAAAAATGTGTTTGTTAAAGGTACAATCAATTAACTTCGGTTGACATGGTTGACTTATATACTAATTTAGAAAAGAAAAGGAAAGCAACTGCATATTTTACAGCGCGCCAATCTCACCGAATACTGGTTCTAATTTTCCACTAGGTGTCGTCATCGATTTCCTGTTTACAAGCTGTCAAAATCAGAAAAATCACTTACAACTTATTTCACTTGGTATGCTGGTTTGGGTTACTTCTTATTATAACGCACAACTCCTAATCCTTCAAATGATCATACATATTCTAATTTTTACAGAAACTGTAATCTGTCATTGTAGGAAATAACTGTGTAGACATCCATGAGCTGATGAAGCTAATGAGTGTTGGCACGGTTTCATGTCGATCCGGCCCCACGTCGATCCGGCCCAAGTCGATCCGTCCCACGTCGATCCGGCCCAACGTCGATCCGGCCCATATTTAAAGTCGATCCGGCCCCAATAAAAAAATATATTTATAACGAATAAAAATAAAGATATATATTAATTGTAATTCATAAACATGATAAATGTTTATGAATTTTATTATAATGTAAAAGGTGTACGGTAAAAAAATGGCCTTTAACAAATATTTTCTTTAGATCTATGAGTATAAAACAAGTAGGTTGATAATGTTTTCATTACAAGTTTTCAAGATTATTGGGTATAATTATAATAAAAACGTATATAACAGAATTTAGTACAATCAACTGACATCAACATTAATCAGCAGTAATTAGCATTTTCTTTCAATTGACTGTGATCTTAACAAGTCTTTCATCCTGTGTAATAACAAATAGTTACATACACAACGGTACAAGCCGATTCCCAAGCTGATACATACAAACTTTGTTTTTGTTTTAAGTTCTTTAAACTTCTCAAATTGAGAAATGTTGTTTGATTTGCCGAATCCTTTCTATAAAAGAGGAGACAGAATGCGTTTGCTTTAAATATCACAATGGCTTTTCCTTGTGTGGTATGCGACATTTCGAACTTCACAAAGCAATCAACATGTAATGAGTGAGTAGATTTTCACCTGGACGGACGTGTTTACTATATGTCCTGTAGACCAAGGTGAATAAAATGTCGAATACTTAAATCATAATCTGATGAGTTGAGAATGGAAACTTCCGACCAACTACAAGAGGAGATTACAGCAGTTCTATCACTCGTAGAGAATCAACCCGCCGATTGGACTTTAACTAAACGGAATGGAAGATACTCCATGCAGATAAAATGGCGACAAACATCACAAAAGCCTACAACCTGCTATACAAACAGACACAATCACACTCAGTTTCGTATCGATTTAAAATAATTCTTTGACTGGTACACCAATACTTCACTTACCTGTTGTCATCCATCATCGATACTTTTTGCAAAATCAATTTATACTGTTAAAAATTCTCCAAAGTCAATATAGTTTATTCATATTTTATTATGGGGCCGGACCTTATATCCTATGGAGGCTTCTCAGATTCCGGAAATGATACCGAATTTTATTTTCGTATTAGAATTAATGTTATTCAAAGCGGGAAATAAAGAAGCAATTATGAATACCAGCGAACATAATACACAAGTTAACTAATTTATACGTAAAAAGATGACAGAAATTTCATTGAAATCGTTCTCTGAAATACAACTGGCCATAAGAGAATATGAAATTGATACAAGCTCAAAGTTTAGAGTAGTGAAAAAAGACAAATATTTTGGATTAGAGGGAACAGGTAATGATACGGGTCATAAGACATAACTTGTATGGCTCATAAGTTTCAGGAATCAAATTAATCAAACATATGAAAAGATTTATAAGACATAAATACATAATAAAAGTACATACTGAAATGTTGGACAGACAGTGCTTTCCTATATATGAAGGATTTGTATATTATATACACGTACGTTTTTATAAAATTATACAACTTGTCAACAAAAATTCATGTCGGAGCTGAAATTACATCAGTCAGAATCTATTATCTTTATTAATATATTGTAAAAGCTGCTCAATGGCAGATCCAGAAGGTGTGCAGAGCATTGACTGAATAGCCATAAAAACCTAAAGAGGGGGCCCTTCAATCTTCAGTCATGCTTCAGTGATTCCATATATATTACATGTATAATACCCCCCCCCCCCCCCCCCCATAAATCAGTCTCCGCAACTGTAAATTGAACTTAAACAAGGAGCATTAAAATTTAGAAACCTTAAACAGTTTATTATCAGTTCACTGTGTATAGTGTACTCAATATTACACCATGACCATGTTAAAAAATGGAGTAAAATATAGGACTGACTATTATGAATGTGGCAAAGATGTCGCATGCGTAGTCTCCGCCCCTAGAGTGCTTTCAGACCTCTTTTAAAAACTGGCACATTTTACTCGTACTCGAACATTATAATAAAGAATGGAAACAGGGAATGTGTCGAAGAAGGAGACAACAAACCAACCTAAATGTACAAGACAAATCAAGACCACCAATGTATATACTATAGACATATTTTGAATGAACAAGGTAAACAAGAACAAATAAAAAGTATTAAAAGCCTAAAAAATATGTACATGTCTCATTGGCAATCATACCACATTTCTTATGTTAATATTGTACTTTAAAACAATATTACTTTTAGATATATTAATATTGCAGACTTGTTGTATTTTGACAGATTTTTCTGCTGTTATGAACATGATGAAAAAGATCTGGTTCAAGGATCCCCAGCCAGATGCAGTGCCTATTATACCATCTACTGGTGTACCCTTTATTGTTGTTGGAAAGAAGTTGTTGGAGTGTCACCAAGGGTTAGATAGAGACAAGAATCGAAAGATGAAAAGAAAAAATGAAACAAAGAAATGTAAACTATATTTTTTATCTTTTCAATAACTTACTTGTACAGTACAATGTATCATGACACAGGTTTTTAATGTGATGAGGTGTAACGTGTAAAAGTGAACAAAGTCTATGATTTAATTATACCTGTATTTCAAGTCATATATGTTTGAAATTTATTGAAATAATTGCTCGGCATAATGATGGACATGGCCTACATAATGAGGAAATGCAGTCTAGTCAGTACAAACGGTACATCCATCATATTTCTTTTCAATTTGATAACAGATTATTTGATTACAGCTAGTATCTGTATCAAGATGAGATCTCTCAACTAGCAAATGAATAAGAGATGGTAATTTGAGGGAATTTGAAAATACATCACCTGAGCTTATTTACTACAATTTACTGATTATCATTTCGTAATTGCCATTATAAGTGTTCATTGTTTTTTACTATTAGGAATGAAGTTTATTTACTAGTAAACAAGAAACTGGTACTGTTTTGTTATTAGCATTTTATCTCATTTGTTCACTAAAAAAGATTTTTGAAAGCATGCAAGTAATACAAAGTTCCTGTTAAATTACACTTTTTAAACGACTCAAAAAATCCTTGTTTGTACCCTGACCATATTTGTTGTGTTTTTTTTAAATCATGTATAATAAAAACAAAATATATATATATATATACGAGTCTAAATTGAAAACAACGTTCAAACCTATGACTGCGTGTGATAAAAACCGCAATTTTTATACGAGTGCATGCAAAACAAATTATATTTATATATACATAACTATGTTACAAATTTATCACAGGAGGACCATGACTTCAGTAGACAGAGGAGACAAATTCAACCAACTAAAAAGAAGAACTGTGGAGTTAAATTGAGGATAAGGCATATTGTTAGATTTCCTGACTACAAGGTATGTATAATATGGTTGATATCCTTGTTTGATGTTCTTTTTTCTTCAGTTTATTTTTGTGAAAGTGTTATATTAAAGTCAGTGATTTGTGATACTCATCAATTCTTAACAGCAATACATTTGTATATATAGACTTGGAATAAGCTGTATTATTAGAAAATCATACAATGTAAATTATAGTATATAAACAGTCTTCATGATAAACTTTTGAAGCTACAGGCCTAAAGCTGAATTATACGAAAATTTTAGTTAGATTCTATTGGCCTGTAGAGATGATTTTACAGGCCCGAAGACATTTTTACAAGCCTGGGCTGGTGGGCCTGTGGTTGAGTGTGAAGACTGTATAAACAGGAGTCTTCTTCCTGTAAATTAAATACACTAATTGCCTCTATACAATTTCACTGAAATTTTTTTTTGTGAATTGTTTCTTTAAAAAGTTGATATTTCTTGTTCTTTAAATTACTTGACATGGTTTTTCTCACAGTTGAATTTAAGAAAGGTCAGCTTTAAGTGAAACACTCATTTATTTTGACAGATTTGATTGTCTTATAATCATGATAGTTTAAATTGCTTGAATTGAAAACCTGCAGAGAAACAATCATGATTCATGTTGACAATTTTGATCCATTAGTTTTTCTTTAATTTACTTGTTTTTTTCTTTCACCATATATATATTGCTTGTTTGTTTTTATTTGAGTTTACTTTTTATTTGCATGTTTCTTTGATTTTTTTACCTATGAAGAAGTTCTGACAGACACATGTTATAGTAATGGTGAGTTCATTTTATCTGCATGACAATATCAATGTCAAGCTTCTTTAATTTGTGAACTGTTTAATTACGTACTGAAATTATTGTACTCTAAAAGATAAATGTTGATTTGATTTTAACAGTAGTCAGTACCTCAATTCTATGGACTTGGAAAATATGAAATCCACTGTAATTAGGACTTGGAAAATATGAAATCCACTGTAATTAGGGTTTTTTAAAACATATTTTAGGCTATTAAAAACAAAAAAAAACATTAATGGCAAAAAAAAAGTTCAGTTTATATGGTTTTAAATATATTTAGATATTTATGTAATCTAACATAGATTTTTCAAACTATACCTGCTTTCATTTAAAACAGTAATACTATGTCTACAAAGCAAAGTTAATTTCTCTGATTTTCATAAATGAATAATTGTTTTACATTTAGACCACTGGAATAAGTACGACATATGAGAAAGATTTGATTTCGGTTGAGATAAAGAAATTGGTTTTGGACAAGAAGCAAATCAATATGCAGGATCAATTCTATACAGCATTTCCAGGCCCAACTGAACACCAAAACCATCTAAGAGGAGAGGTACAAATCAGTATGATTAAGGCCATATGCCAATTTCACCATGATTATGTAAAAAAAAATATTAATGCTTTTTTTGTATACTGTAAACTTAATAAATGTACTAGTTTT